TTATCATCTTTACTTTGACACTTCAGTACAGCAAAATATCATAAGCAAGAAAGCTTAAGCAGTTAGTAGCCGACATCAAGACGACTAATTTCATTTATTTTAGCAGAAAATAGGAAGAACTTAACATATTAAAGATATTTCGTTTACTCTTGGCAGAACAAGTTACTGAACAAAAAGGAGGCTGTGGCACTTCTGTCTAGAACCAGGTATGCATTGAATGGAAATGGAATGCACTAATTTAGCGCCGCAAAGCAAAATATGTTTTGATCAGATGTTGGTGTGGAAAAACAATAATAATAAACTAATGTGGATGTAGTTGGCACTGAAATTGACAGAAAGTTGCAATACTTTTAAAATTAAATTTAACTTTACCGAATTATTCGTATTAAGAAATTTTGGTGGTTTTTATCCTAAATTCAAGTGAAAGTACGCTTTGCAGCGATTTGACCTCATTTAATATGTGAGAACATGACATGCTCTAAAGAAAATTAAATATTTGTCATTTGCTGACATTTGTCGAATTTAAATGTACAAAAGTGACAGCAACAAGGATCAAAGTGCACACTTAAAATCATGCAAACAAGTAAAAACTAAATGCAGGAGCAAAAACGATAAACAGCAGAAATTGCAGCGAATGTTGCATGTATGAGTTATATGTGCGAAATGTGATTTGCGGTGATTTATGCATGAATGAAGCCAATTTATGGATTACCGCTGCTCAAATGCTACATCCCGCTCCTCCTTACTCGGCTTCAGCTATTACTCGAAGACTCAGCGGTGGCTTGCTACGAGGCGGAGTGTGTATGCCACTAATGTGGGTATTTGGTTGTTGTAGTTGTTGCTTGTTGCTTGTTCTTACATTAGTTGCCAATTTTTTACTATCGCTCTTTGTGCCACAACCGTTGCAGCCAAGTCGGAGCCAGAGCAAAGATTAACGTTGCTGTAAAACCAAAAGCCAAGTGATTTGTGGTGACTGCAGATGCAATGCTGGTTCTTGCTTGATTCTCTTCCAGCATGAAGGTATCCATGTTTTATTTAAACCACAATTAAGTACTCATGTATGCATTTTGAATATTCGGTGTATATTAAAGGAACATTTCCTCCAATGGACTATATCATCAACCAACACCCTTACGAAGTTATCCTCAGCAAAATATCAAGATGTGTTTAGATACAAATTTTTGTATATAACTGAGAAAACGCATGAAATCAAATGTTTTACTTATTAACATATTCGCCATATTAATTTATATTATACGAATCTATCATTACGAAATCATCAATTGAATTTTTTTGAATTCCAAGCCATGAGCTTTAAAATTACCGACGTTGCTAGAACAAAACTCAATAATTCAATTAAAATGGGCAAGAAAACATGTGAGCCATCACGATAAAGCAAAGTCTCCCACTTAATAACAATAACAACAAACCTGATGCACTATTTCACTTGGCGAGACTTAGAAGCAACCCAATTACAAATATAGAATACACCCACCTGATTCACCCCGCCTCATGTCCGTTTGCTGCCACTTGGCTCTATGACCCCTTCGACACCTGAGAAACAGAACACCAGCATCCTTTGCAGGTTTGTAATTATATTTATTTTCCGACTTTGAGGCAACAAACAACAGACAACCATTTGCTGGCGATGGATGTGATAAAAATAAAACAACAGCAACAATGTGTGCAACAATATATAATTGAAGAGTGCGGGTAAAAGGCAAGGTAAAGGAAAATGCATAGAAAAATTCAATTCCATGGCTATCGAAGTGCTGGCTTAGCAAAACCACCGACCAACAACAAATACCTGGATTTAGCTGAGCGAACCTCAGTTGCTGTCTGAGATTGTTTGGCTGCACACCGTATTCACGTACATGAGAAAGTGTTCACATGGGTGGCATGTGGCATGTTCGAGTGCAATCTGTCGCCACCTGCTCCCGCTACCGTAACCTGCGGCACTGTCATCACATCTAACTCGTTTGTTGTCACTACTCTACGTTTGCAGGTGAATGCTGGGAATCGTGTGTGGCACGTGAGCTTATCGCTGGCGTCTGCACTTTTTCTATTCAATACAAGTTCTGACGTGTATGTGTGTGGGTGTAATCAATGCAGAAATTCTTTTTGTTCTTTTGTTGCTTTCACTAGGAAAGTCGTTTGCTTTTCGCAAAAAAATATAGTTGTATTAAAATGTTATTGCTACATTCTCACCTGGCGCTAGCAAAAACTTTTCAATTTAATGTCTGACAAAAAGGAGAGTTTGGAGTTCATGCCAGGATTAGTAGATTAAATAACGATTATAACAACTAAGGAAGCCATTTCGTTACTTTTGAACAAGTAACTGACACCTTTAGAATTCATTAAACAGATTTCGGATTTGAAGAGCTTGAGTAACGGTAGTTATGAGTTGTCAATTAATTGAATGGGGTGATGTAAGGAAAATTTGTATTTTGTTGGAATTTAAATTTCGCTTATAACAAAAATTATTTATAGTAACAGTGTCATTAGTGTAGCAAACGCTTCAATAAGTACCTATAAAAACAGCTTCTTTAAAAATGTCAACAACGAGACGAACAACGCAGTTGCACCAGTGCACATTATTTGTATTAACATTGAAATGACAGATGACAGTGACTTCTACTGACACCTTATGCAAGCGCGTAGAGTGAGTGAAATAGTCAATTTTTTCCAAGGCTTGACTTGCCTCGGCCAAGTGGGGAAAGGTGAGATTTATTTTAAAATTTGGTTGCTGATGTCACATATGTACTTACGTCTGTATATATTTAAGAGTATGTTGTGTATGAGGAAAGAGGGCTTTTATTTTTAAGTCACTGCCAAAAGAGGTTTTCATATCAATGGCGTTTTCATACCCTTTTCCGTTGTCCTAATAGCAAGCACTGTGTTTTGGTAAGTTAGATGAGCCGTCTTGTTTTCAATTTGTGAGAACTCTTTTCTCGTTGATTTACAACGACATACTCTTTGTATTTTCTTTTCGTCTTTTTTGTTAATGTTGATTTGCTCTTACCTCAACATATTTCTAAATTATGTATGTGGACCTTCAGAAGCGCTAAGCATTTGTTATACAACCAAGATAAAGTGCTCAGTGTTTTGTTGTTTATATGCACACATGTTAGCAAGTGTGTATTGGTAAGACCAAGCTATCAATCAATGGATTACCCTTGTCAACTTGGCTTTGTATAAAAATAAAATTCCTCAGAAAGCCTATCTGCTAAGAGAAAAATCACTTTTAACTTTTACAATATATGCCAAGTGACATATATGTTCATGTGTTTACTTATGTATGTACGAATATACAAATATACATGTTTAACAAGTTCTGATAATTAGCACAGGCTGAATTAACCACAAGAATCTTACCCTTAAGCAAAATAAAATAGATCACGCTTTTCACGTATTTTTCAATATTTGTTTTACTACTTTATTGACTTACGAACAGTTTTGTGAGATTATTCCATTCGACCATCCACAAACAGCTAAAATTTCTGAAAAGTTTACGGTAAATCATTCCGATACATCAAGATCAATGACAAGCCAAGGAAGCTAGTGTCAGCAAAATAACTTGCACGAATGAAAATACCAAAAAAAGAGAAAGAAAATTATTTAAAGTTCAAAAGAATGACTGGATTCAAATATGATGTTGTGTGAGCTTACAAAAGTGTGACTTGTGTGTCAGCACAAAGTAATAATTTCGAATAAAATTTCGAAGATCACTTCAATCAAAATAACTTTATCGAAAAATTTATCATAATTTCATTTTTGAAGCGGTCTGAACTGGTAACAGAACTTATGGTGGGACTAAATGAAATAATTTCTAATAAGTATAAGCTTATTGATGCTCATACTTATTAGAAATTATTTTGGCAATAGAGTATAAAAAGACATCTGGGAAATTTATTACACTCTACAACATTTAAGTTGTGCTTTTGCGCTCTGACGGTTACGTTTAGACATATCAAGAATTTCCGATTTCCGCTAAATACATCTGATGGCAAGCATTTTTAGCATTTTCAATGTTTGGCGTTTAGTACTTTTTGAACTGTCTGCTCTACCCCCCCAATCAAGTGGTATTTACGAGCGTTTGGAAGACACCAAAATAAATTAAATGAAAACAATATATAGAAGTGGATAACTCTTTTATGGAATCGAGCCCTGCTACTGTGTAGAGGTAACGCTCCTCGATCTAGGCATCCACCACTTTCTTTTTGAATATATTTAGTGCTTTTAGCTTTAAATTTGTCCAGATTTATGCGCTCCTTTATGCTTTTGTGTTTAAATATATTCTCAGTGTACTCGTTTGTAAGCTTGAATGGCATTTACTGGTGATTATCGCCATATTACAGGCTCAATTAGGAATGTCACATTGAACGAAAATGAAATGGAATAGAATCCTTTATGCAAACATATTCACAGACGAACGCATACACACATGCACCTACACACACACGTAAACTCGCACATATAAATATAAATAAATGATTGTTTACATGAATGTGCCGTTAATCGCCATTCACAAGGTTTTAATTATGAATGCAACACATTGCAGCATATTGCAGTTATTCAGCTTGAAGCTCCGGCAAAAACAGTCTGCATGAAAAGAGAAAAAATCCATTTTTTTATTCAATTTCATTCGCTTTATAATTGTATGTGGACTTTGCGGTAGTTCTTAAAGCAGAAAAAGAAGTGAATATATGCCCATTTCCTCACATAGATTTGCACCCCCAAAAAGACAGTAGTCATCAAATTATGCTTACAAAGAACATTTTTTGGTATATTCGTAACAAAATACCATCACATCCTTCATTAACATATTATATTAGCTCTGCTATTCTCTACTTAGTTTGTGCCGGAATATCCAGTGTAGTCATTTATTTTCAAATAGCGTTTACGCAGCTGCTAAATTGCCACCAGCAAGCTGCAAACCGTCTCGCTCAAATCGGCTTTCGAAACTGAACTGAGTTGACACACCGAGGTAAAAGTAAATTAAAGCCGAAGAGACAGCTAAACACGAACGGTGTTGCAGATGTGGAGGCTGCTCTTGGAAGCAGCGCTGCTGTTTGACATTGTGTTGGTTTTTGCGTTTGTCCACGTGGTTCCTGACGCTGTGAGTGACGCCGCTGCCGTCAAACTTACCGGTGCTGCTGATTTCGTCGTTCTCTGCTAGCGTTGCTGTTAAATTAAATGTTAATTTTTTTCTGTTAACTGCCTAAATGTAAACAAATAAAAATGGACATGCAATGACGTCTCTTCCCAAAGCTGAGAACATAAAAAGCTTTTTAAAGGGTGACTTTTTTAGAAATTCTTAAAATAATAACAATAATGTATAAAAAATTATAAAAGAATGAAAGGCAATTTTATAAATATTTGTTAGCAGAAAAGATACTTAAGTTTGTATAACCTTTTGATTTGCAAAAATTAATTAAATTTGCAGTTAGTGGACTAGATTTTCATGGTGATGTTTTCACACTAGTCTTCCTTATGATCTATATGGTAAAAAGTCTTTTATTCAAAATTGCGCTTAAAATGATTTCAATTTTAATTACTTCACTGATGCCTTCTTTATATATTGTAAGACTGTAAAGGCCGCCGACGTAACGGCATCTAAACAAAAGATAGAAAATAAGAAGAGGATAATTTAAGCCAACCAAACCAAGTAGAAAAATGTTTATAAACATTAACACTTGTCCTAGAGACATCTATACAGAATATACAAAAATTACCTATTTACCGCAATAGTTTTCGTAGATTCTGTTTATGGTATGGTTATTCAAAAAACACTTTCAATTTTATTTGTTTTACATTTGCCTCTATGTTTTCGCATTTTCACTTTACTTTTGCTGAAAAGAATAAAGAGAATAGGAAAAATATTTCAAAATGTAGTAAATAAATTGTTGACATACAAATTATTTGATTTAAAAAGGGTTTAAAGCTCTTCCAGTTGTGGAGTCCAAGATCAGCAAGTGAACAAGCATACAAAAATAGCACAATGACACTAGAAGAAGAACCAAAGAGGTACAAAAATTAAAAGGAAAGGTAATTGAACCAGCATAAGTGAGACGTGCCTGTGAGTGAAATGAATAATGAATGAAAATGTTGCAAATTCGCAGATTTTCATTTTCGCGCCAGCTGCTGCTCATTCTAAGTCTCTCAGTAGTGGCACGTGACTCGCACACAAATGTTGTGAATAGACTCATTCAGAAGACACCATTATTATCTGGAAGATCTTAGTTGTGTGCGATTGCGACACGTTTTGGCAGGTCTATATAAATCATCAACACAGATCCATTGTCAACTTAATTTGTAGCTGCAACATGTGATGAAACGATGATCACGTTGCCAACGCAGAACTCATTCACACGCGCCTTTTATGCTAATTTATATTGCAACGCATTCGACGCATTGAAATTGCGATAAACCGCATGGCAATGTATTTTACTTGCCTTGAGCAAATGCATCGGAAATTCGCCTTAACAACGGCAGCAAACAATTTGCATTACAAGCAAGATAAATAAGGAATTTTTCGATTTCTTTGAAGTTGTTGACAGAGAGCAAAATATGTTGTTGAGATACAAATAAACGGTATGATACGTAATAAAACACACATATATATTTCTGAATATTCTGAATTATTCTACAGTGTAGTTAGTACGTACTTATTTACACGAATAATAATCTAAAATAAGTTTTCATCCATTACCCGAAATTATAATTAATTAATTACTTTAAACATTCAAATTAAATACTTGTACAGTGCTGTAAAATGGAGAATCAAGTGAAAAACTGTCCAACTGACTTTAATGCTTATTTCCTAAAATTCAGATCCCAGATGTACACAAATCCGAAAGCAACATCCAATCAACAAAATAATACAAGAACAAAGTATAATTTTGCTATTTTTCAGTCAAATTCATAAATCCATTTAATACGCACACACATTCATGTCCATATGTATGTACTTGAGTTTCAGGGCATGCACACATTTAGGCCAAAACAATTAAATTCACAGTAAATGCATATCCATCGAAACTAGATTTTCCGACCTGCCTTGAATAACAAAATATCTACGGACGTCATACAGATAACAAATTGGTGTGACCAGCGGTAACGAAGACAACCGAAATGGGCAACAATCTAATGGGGTGATCAAGTTTGCAAATATTTGCCCTTTGAGGATCACGGTCAGGCAGTTTAGAGGAGAGAAATCAATTGTGTTAATCACACAAACAATAAATATAAAGGAGGGCCACTAAGAGACTCAACACACACAAATGGAAAATGTGGTTAGGAATCTTTATTAAGGCAACATAATTCGAAGAATTTGAGATGTAGAAGTATTTAACTGTTTTGCTTTTGTAGCAGCAGAAAACATTCGTCAAGTAATTACGGTGAATGATGCCAATGGATAAAATTCGAGGTTCGTTCCGATTGCTTCGATATACATTCTTATATGACAGTGAATCAACGACGCTGAGTAATCCTCAACTGACAAATTGAAATGGAGACTGATACATCAGTTTTGAACCTCAAAACTGCAATTGCGAAAAAACTTTTATTTCTTTCATACTTGGATATTGCGATCAAGTGTGATTTTATGAATACGTTAAAGGTAAGTGGTCAGCTGACGTCATACGGACACTGGTTTTGGAATTTATATAACATAACCCAATGTCTCCAATACTGCCATCATATGGGAGAGCTTTAAAAGAGATAAATACATAATTTTAATATGTATAACTCTATAATATAAAAACCGTTAGGTGAACAAAGCTATTGTACTCTGTGCACTATAAAAAGAAGAGCATTATGTTGTCAACGGAAGCAATTGCCATTAGGAATTTTTCTAATAAAGTTTTGCTTTTGCTCTTCTCCGTTGTTTTAGCCTGATTTACGTAAATATTAAGACAGTTTTAAACTAGGATAATACATAAATCAAGTGCTGTACTTTTGAACAGCTATTTGAATAGTCGGAGCTCAGAATGCTGTCATAAATACCTCTTGTGAGGGGAGAGAATATTAATCTATAGAAATGCTGCAGGAGATAACCAAGGTTTCCACATTGCATGCCAGAATTATAGGCGAACCCAAAGGAGTTAGTGGAATTAGTTTTAGAAATTGAGAACTTTGCGCATTGCTAACAGCATCAAGGCAGTTAAGCCAATGAAACGAATCCATTTTACTGTCAATGGTCATGGTTGAGGAGGAGAATCGAAAAACGGTGGCTCTGGCGTTTGACCAATTTCAGAAATAGTGTACTCACGCGTAGGATAGGGTTAAGCGTCGGCGAGGTTTAACGCCTTATTTGCTGGCATTGTCGAGAGCAAAGCAAACCATAGCAACGCCTGTGTGTGAAGCGGAATAGGAAAGCAATTACCGTTTCCTTTCGCAATCGGAAGCCATTTATTGTGAAGTCTAAGTTGCGAATTGTCGGCTTGACTGTTCTGTGGAATGGTTGGCATTTCTGTTTTGGATACTCTGAAGCGATTACTGCCACGATGGTGTTATGCAATTTCTTTGTGGGTTATTACTTTAGGTCGCATGCGCTGACTTTCGCTTTTCATTGCTATTTTAGTTGCTATTGCACCTCATAACTGATAAATCAATGCCTGAATGATGCTAAGTATAAAAGTGGAAAGTGAAAAGAGAAAAGAGAAGCTGGGGCATCAAATGCCTTTTAACAAAGGAAGCAATATGACTTCAGGTGAAATCCGTTTGCAATATGATATATTGTCGAGCATTTTGATCTTGTTTATGCATCGACATAAATTTCGATAAATTGTCTTCTACATTTTTGGAAACTGAATACATTTATCCCTTGTCAACAAAGGTGGCGGTCCAATGATGGCAAATGTTTATGCCAGCTTGCAACTGGTATTATCTTCTTCATCATTCTCACTATTTTTATTTCAAATGTTATTACGATAGTAGTGAAACCGTATTTTTAAAATAAATATCGAAGCTGCTTAAACATGTCCTCTGTATCACTCGAAATGATTGTAATAAGTTCGCATTCCGACATTATATATCTCTAGAGCATTTAAGAGAACATTATCTCAATTGAATTTCCAGCACTTTTATTGTTTCATGAAGATACTCACACACCTATGTATTTGTAATTGAAATTGTCTGTGACGTTGAATTGTATAAGCAATCGCCTCCTCTCCACGTTCTCATCATCCTTGTCCCTTTCCTTGCTGCAATTATCTTTTTATTTTACACTCTATTTCTCCTGCATTCGGCCACTTACACTCGACATTTTGGACAACTCCACGCACAGAAAAGGTTCCCAAATTGAATTCAAATCCACATTCATCATATTTTTATGGCAACTGCGCTTCTGAAAGCAGCAGTACATTTTCAGCAAATCATCATTGAGAGTGTCGCTTTGAGATTTGTGCTTGTGTCAGGCTGAAAGTTAGCGCGGCAGTTGTGTGTCAGCAGACTTCAAGTCTCAAAAGCGAGCACGTAAACAACAAGCACTTTTTGTTGCACGTTTCCTTGCGTCGCGAGCTCCAAATTTTGATTTTATTTTCCTAAAATATTCTTGTTAGAGTAAGTCAGAAGCCGATACATAAAACTTTGTAGAATCATTTATAAGTTCTGAACAATAAATAAATGTTCGTTTCTATAAACTGACTACAAGTATTATTCATCATAAACATATTTGAACAATTTTTGTAAACATTTTGATTACTGTCGGCAGCATTCCCTTGCTAAATAAGTGTTTGAATTCAGGAGCTTATAAAAGTATTATGGGAAAAGAAATACCAAAAAGAGAAATGACAAATCTGCTAAGCTCCAATTTACTTCTATACTTTGTATATGGAGTAGTAATTATTTTCCTATGAAATTATCAATTGAATGGGGTTTTCGCTTTTCCTTTTTGGTGTTAAGCAACTCAGCGTATCTTTAGCCAAATAAAATCATAAACCCACAAACTAATATTAGTGATATTATTCGAAATTCATAAAATTAGAATATGCACGTAGATTTGGATGAATGAAGCCCTGGGATTTGGATGCGAACTACCTTTTGCCTTCTGCAAATCCTTTGGGGCGCTGAAAAGCTTTTCGGGTCTTTCCCAACTTAGCACACGCCATCACAAAAATAGATATTTATATTGAGAATAAAAGCGATCCTGAAACTTAAGTTAGTTAGGTTTACTATTTTTCAATTTTTTCCAGTTAGGCGAGGAATATCCTTCTAAAAATAGTTAAAATACTAGTAGAGCTAGTTCATCTCTGAAGTATATCTTTACAGAAGTGTTGTTTGAATGCTCAATCTTTGGACCTCCACCATTTCAATCAAATTTTATGAACTATTAGACACTCGAGCAATTTCGACTAGAATATCCATACTTTCATGAAATAGCTGAAAATGCTTCCTCGATTCCTGTATTGAGAAGGTTTGTTTTGCTTAGACAGATGACGCTAACACTCAGCATCTTATTGAAATGAAGTGGCGACATATATTTGATTCCTCCTTCAAGGCATAGGAAAATATTTAAGGCGGTGAATCAGGGTACACAAGTTGCCATACACACAGCCTGCGAATCCATTGAGTAACAGTAACATTTGTGCATCTAAGAGAAATACAGTTATGTGTATTGCAGAGCATGCTGTTGTTGATGTAAATTCAGATAAATTGACGTATACGCAACACAAATTGCTTAACCAACTACAAACGTGCTCACGTGCTCACATGTTTCACAAGCTGCCGTCACAAGCTGCCGGCACAAGCGTGTGTGAACGTGAGGTATCTACGTAAGCGCGAACA